TGGTGGTGGATTCCCTCTGATACGGGTCGGATGTTGTGATAAGTGAGCCTTGGGAGGCTCAGACCATGGTCTGGCTGCAACTCGATGTGGACTATCAGTCGTTGTGACGGTGGAGAGACTGAGTGAGTTCACATCATGCCGAGTCTCGTCATGCGCTTGTTCATCCGAGGCATTGGAGCAAGATTGGCCCCCGGCGCAAGACGCTGGCCACGAGGCAGCCCGATGGCCGGTCGTGGGCCGCCCCTGCCGGGACCGCCTGGTCCCATGGGAGGGCCCATCTTGGATCCCATTCCGGGACCCATGGGGGGCGGGCCGCCGCGTCGTGCGCCAGGCGGGCCCTGAGGACCGGGCGATCGAGCCATGCCGCGCGGAGGGCCGTCCGGCTGCTGTACTCGTTTCCACGCATCCCGCTCGCAGAACGCCCTGCCGTCGACTTCGAAGTAGCCGTTGGAGAGAGACATGCCGCAGTCGCCGCAGCGGAAACAGCCGACATGATACTTGATCGATTCTTCGTCCTCCAAGTACTGACCTTCAATGCCGCGCCCGCAGCTACCACAAAGACTGCCGTTGAGCTTGTGGTAGTGCTGCTCGCAATAGGGTTTGTCGTTATGCACGTAAAACTCGGCGGACGAAAATGGCTCGGTACATGTGGTGCAAACGAAGCATGCCTTGTGATACCGTCCAGTGAGGCGGCCGTCAGCGGAAGAGATGCTCTTTCCCTTTATGGGGTCACCGCAAGATTTGCAGTTGCCGCGAGATGACTGAACAGCAGGGTCGGATGGCTTCCGAGTTGAAGGTCGGGGAAGAAGATCGCGCGGAGGCGATGAGGCCTGTTGCCGAATGTGTGTTTCAACGGGGGCCCGGTTGTAGTCATTAGGACCAGCGGCCAGTGGTGATCTTGTCCTCTCCGGGCGTCCCTGGGCGGCGGGATCATACCGGACATCGCCCGAGCTAGGCTGGCGGTTAAAGGACGAGTTGGCATTTCTGTCGGCAGATGGGGCATTTTGCTGCATGGAGCCCATATCAGCCATGGAGACCTCCAAGTCGATCATGATGTTATCGAAATTCGAGGTGTCCGAAGGTTTCCTCCTCTCAGGTCTCGATCTGACTGGGCTAGTCTGTGAGCTGCTTTGGGAGCTAGAGTGACCCGGTCGGCTGAAGGTAGAGTAGCCTGATGACGCCGAGTCCGAAGGCGAGTGGTAGGGGTTTCCAACGCCGAATTCGTTGGCCAGATTGATAGTGGACGAGCCATTTCCGGCAGTTGATGGCCTGAGAAGACTAGTTCGCGGCGGTGGTGGCCTCGAGGTATCTGGACCCATTGAGGGTTGACGAGCATGGCTCGGGGCCTCGTCGACAATCTGCTTGAGCCGTTCGGGTCGTGGCCCAGGCGCTGACGGGGTCCGTAGAGGAGCTTCGGCAGGGTTGTTGGGTCTGGGAAATGTTCCGGATCGGTTGACACCGAAGGGCTCTGGTTCGAACTCTTCTGGTGCTTGGCCTGGAGGACCAAATCCACCGTAGCCATTCTTCCTGGGTACCCTCGGGGGCGCGATACCCACGTGGTTATTGCCCAAGAACGCGAATCCATCTTTCGGCGCACTGGTGCTTTGTGCGACTGGGCTGGTCCGTTCAGTGCTGTAGCCGACTTTGGGAGATTCGGTGATTCTCGGTGACACAGGCGGCATCTCGTCGGTCGTGGAATTCTTTCGTAACGAGGCGAATGCGTTTTTCGATGCTGGTCCTGGCTTACGGTTCATCTCGAATGGCCCTGGCGCGATTGTATTCATGCGCTGGAGCAGGGCACCTTGCTGCCTCTTGGGGCTGCTTGGCTGATAGGTTGGCTCACCGTCTCGCGCGTCGGGTTCGTCGAAGCCGCCGTATCCGCCAGGTCGCCTTGCTGTTAGTGGTGGTGTTGCGTTGTAGTCGGTCGCAATCTCTGGTTGAAAATAATCGTCGGGCCTGCCACCACTGGGGGTTTTGGGTGATACACTTAGGGAGCCGGTCGAACTGCTGATTGGCGTTATTTGACTTTGGCCTAGAAAAGGGCGATCTAGATATGCTGTTAGCTACTAGTACTCGGAACTGCGGGGTGCGTCAGGGTTGACTTGCTCGCAGCACTTGTGTCTACTCTCGGTGGCTGTGTGCGACTGAATTTGATGTCCTCTGGGGGCGGCGAACGTGCGTAGGAAGCGAAGGTGTCAGCGGTTTGTGGTGAAGGAAGTGCTTCAACCTCTGTCAGCATGTGTTGTCATGAAGAGAGTGGCGTAGAAAAACCTACCGCTATCGATGCTCGCGCCGCAAATGTGCTCCCCCATCATGGAAATCTCAACATCATTTCCACATGACGAGCACTTGATAGTCGGCATGAAGCTCGACTCCCGCGGGAACGCCATACTGGGCTTCCGTGGTCAATGGTTGGGATTGGATGCTTTGCTTGTACTTGGCATAGATGTCTCGATCTGGGATAGAAAAAAGCAGCTGGCGGTGAATGTCGTCGAACAGGTCGTTCAGATTCGAAAGGCACGTTGAGCGACAGGTTATCCAATGGTAATGTTGACGTCCAGTGACGTTTCCAAGAGGTCCGAATCAGTCGACGGACAACTTCTCGCAGAAGTGTCTGGATGTTTGTGTTCTGGGATTGCAACCAAAACGGGCAGGCTGATTGGGGAAGAAGGAGCAAAACTGTCAACTGCTCGGTGCAGGTCTGGGTTTGACGCTCAGATGTTCTGGTCCCGCCCGATGATTCTTGTTTTCGATTTTCGATGTTCGATGCAACGATCTTGGTCAGGCACGCTGGGAGGGTTGTTAGAGTTCCACGAGGGGCCCTTTTGCTTCCCTGGTGACTGATGGTACTGTGGGAAGAGAAAACAGGAATGCACGTCAGAAGGCAAGGGCAGTTGCAGAGTTGATGTTGCAGGTCGTGTCTCGAAATGCGAAGGGTGTCAGGGACTGGGGATGTTTGGGTTGCGGCCGAGAGCATGAGACCTGGTCGTGCCCCTGACCGATATCCTTGTCGATTAACAGGGATGCACAGGGACCCAAGGTCTTGGCTTCAAGGGCCCCTTGCCCCCCGCCTTTCCCAACTGGGCTGCGAGCTTTATTGCACAACTACTGAATGGGGGAGCTGCCATTACAGGGAAGCTAGTAGGTGTATGCGTCTGTGCCGCACGAGGCGCGCGGGCTGAGCCATTCGAGGCTAATATCGATGGTGTTGGTGATCGGTTCAAGAGGAAATGGGGAGTGGTTCATGGTTCGCGGAGGTCCCAAGCACAATAATTTCAGGCACTCGGGCCGGCCTCGAATGATGACTGGTAAAAGGGATGAAGCGTGAGAAGGTTTGATGTGGATGGAATTGTGCATCAACCCATATTCCAATCGTTTCGTTTCCTGGATCTGGATTCTTCAGTCGGACGAAGCTCTCACGTTGCCCTGACTTGGACACCCCGCTGCCGCCGAGCTTGGATGACAACCACTTTGCGCTCAGCAAGCCAAGCCTGTCGCTGAATGAACGAAGCTCGATGGAGGATCGCAGGCAAGGTAGTGCAGACTGTGCAGTTGCACGTTCCAGGTGGCACTGCCTACAGTGCATCTGCAGAGAAGGCGTTTCACACCGCTCCAGGATATCCCTACTCATACAGGCGTCCCTCACCTTGCCCCTCGTCCACTTATTAGCCAGACCAGCAGGTAGTCAGCAGGCAGGCCATGCATGGTGTGACCAGGACTAGGACAACAGCAGCAGCGTGTCCCTTCACTTTACAAACGAGTCTAGAACGTGGTGGGACTTAGTTGTCTTCTGTCAAATGGCGAAACACTTGTCGATCGACGAGCATTTGTTTCTTTCTTTGTGCAGCAGCTTACTCGCACTAGGTGGGAACCTAAGCTTGGGCATCGCAAAGTGTAGACGCCATTTCGGTGTACTTGTATGGGGTCTTAGTCAGGTCATCAAGCCAGGCAGCTACCTACCTACCACCTGGTGGTCAGCGTCAGCAATTGCGACTGCTACTTACCTTAGGTAGGCAAATCCGCCAGAACAGCCGGCGTTGCCCGTTCGCCAGCCAGCGCGGGCCAAAGCATGCAGCAGCAATGATTGTCCGGAACTTCGACCTTCCAGGTTCCCGAAGGTCATTTCCAGGGGCGCGCTACAGGATCACCAACCACACGAGAGCCAGCGGGATCGGGTACCTTACATCAGTTTGGGCAGTTGCCGCCGCTAGAAGCGATAGCAGGAAGCACCAGACCACCACCCTTCGACCAGAACCCCACCGCACCTGACCGCTAAAGTGGTGGCTCGTTTGTGAGCGGAGCCAGTGTCACAGTGACAGTGGCCACAGAGGCTCCAGTGGCTCCGGTGACACGAGGGGCCCTCCCCCTGTCGGATGCCCTGCTCGTGCATTAAGGTCGATTCCCGTCATGGCTTCATGTCCTTTGGTGAGCTTCTGGACCCTGATCATCGTCGGTCGGCGCACTCTTCGGCGCCGAGGGTTTGGCCCTTTCACTCTTCTCTCACACATCGATTCCCGAGTCTCACAAGCCGTCTACTGTCCGCTCATCGCCTTGGTCAAGTATGGTCCACGACCGCTATGATTCGACGGGACCTCTCCGAGAATAGTAGGTCGAGACAGCATGCCATGCGACGTGCCGTCGATTTATGACTGGCGCAGGAAGCGGCTCGGAGAGAATGCCCACCGTGTAGCGTCCCGCGTGCCTGACCAGGTGCGACGAGACCATGGCAAATATAGGGATCGTGGTCGGAGAAATACTTCAGATAGCGTGTGCCAGCCTGCACCAGCCAGCTTCGTAAGTCACTTCTCTCTTGCCATACATACGACGCATCTGTCTTGCCATCTGTTGATCTTTGGCCCTGGATCACAGCGGGTAAAAGCAAGGGAAACACGTACAAGTCCAATACTAATAAAGCAAGATGGAAAATCTTGTTCACACCTGACGCGAAACTTCTTTGAACACGGTCGTGTCGGCCACCAGTATTAGCTCCTTACGAATCGCGGCCCACAAATCCCCAGTACCTTGTCTCGTATCCCTAGCACCGCTTGGACCGACTGGTCCTGCTCATCACTCGAGTCGCGGTGCGAGATTGTCGAACCCAGTGTAAGATCAAATCAGATCCGTAGTACACGAGCATCCACTCTTCAGGTCTCGGTACAGCACAGTCAGCCAGCCTCAACCTCGACTTTGGATCCGCGACTTCCAACCAGTTATGTCTCCATGTCTGTGTTGTGTGCCATCTTCCACGTCGCCTCATGACCTTGAACCCCCCACCATCGGGACGTTGATCTGGCAATGAAGTATCCCTCCCAAGCTTCTCATCACTGCCATTGGCAGATGGACGAACGACACGAAATGAGTTGAGCGGCGCTCAATCTGCCGCCTGTCGTCGGCGGCCGGCACTCATTCGCTCAGCTCTGCACAACTCGCTGGCTCTTCATTAGCCGCAGCTACCATGCGGAAAAGAGCGGCTGTGACCGTAGCATCTTCGGAGAGAACAATTTGACACCTGCCAGGAATACGGCGTTGTGGTGCAACCACGCCCGACCGACATCTGCCAGGGCTGCCAGTTACATGCATGTACTTGCCCAGGACAGATTGGGACGCTCATTTGGTTTCCACGGGAACCCCTGAACAAGACGGCTCACCAAATAGGACCAAAATTGGTGGACGAATGAATGGATGCAGCCTCTCCGACCAAAATGGTACGTCAACACCAGGACGCTGCTCGATTGGGTCTCACGGATGCCGATCGCCATGTAATCACTTGCCTCGTCGAACATACCTTTTCCAGAACCTCTCACATCTCAATCAGGTGAGAATGGCAAAAGGCATTATTCGAGGGTGCTATGGACCAGGTTTGTGCACAGAAGTATGGGCGAGGGATCCATCGGCACATCTCTCTCGATCACGGGATGCATGGAATGCGCCGTAGAGAACAGTCCGAGGAGCATCCACCACGAAGACACGCCGACCCCATGCGCGTGCGCCATCTGGATCAGGAGAACGTCGAGCCAGGAGCAGCAAATGATCTCCATGTCTGTTCTGGTCTGCTGCGGACGAAACATCAATCAACCCACTCTCACCGGATTTCATGCATCAATGGATCGAAGCCTAGCCTGCCTGGGGGCCTGGCAAGTCCGGGGGAGGGAGTTGGTATCGAGACGACCTTCCTCAAACATGGCAATGTCTGTGGTGATCGCCATTTGGTTGGCAGACCTGTCGCTGACCCAGGCCCCTCTTGACCATCTTGACTCTGAATAGTCTCTCATGGTTCTATGGTTAAAAGAAAAAAAAAACCAAAAACCCTCGCATCAGCTAGACGCTCGTCTCCGGTACAGGGAATCAAGCATGCCATGATGAATGCGATTCCAGACATGAACTGTTCATCGACGATGGCGATCAAGACGATACTGCAACATATTCAATAGTTTGTCAGC